TCATAATAAGAAAATAAGAAACTAGCAGAAGAAAAAAGGGAGAAGATTATACAAAAATGGAAGTAATAAGAAAAAAAAAGGAAAAAAAAAGAATCCCAATAATTCCTCCGATGCTGCTCCCGTTAAAACAACCTATAAGAATGTACGCATCAGATATCTATACGTAATTCTTTCATATTTCAGTGCCCCCAATTCAAATGAACACCGTGAGCACATTCATCATATGATTCATTCGAATTCTCATACACTACTCTCCGAAATCAAGTGCAAATATGTATGAATTTTCCACCTTAGCCCGGTGATTCATAACTCAATCTAAGGGACTCTGTTTTGTACATTCCTCACTTTAGCAATCTGTACCTTAGACGTGGGACTTCACAAGTACTGAATGAAGCTTGCCCAAAAGAATATACGACAATAGAAACAATACTTCAAGAGATATGCAAGTGACGGGGAATTCATATTGCATACGGCTAACAAACAGGATTTCTTCTTGTACACCTAATTCTTATTTTAGCAATTTCGAAATATCAGAGGCGACAGCAGCGCAGCACGGGGATAGCTCAAGCTATTCTTGCCTTGCATGTTTCAAAAAAGAACATCATATTCTAACCAATTCTAATTACAATGGATTTGGTGAACCAGAATGTAATGTATAACTTCATATAACTGGACTAAATATGTGTGACTATTCCTTTGCAATCACTCCGCATCTATTCTGGGAATAACATTCCTATACCATGACTCAAAAGCAGTAGCTACATGCTATCAGGGTATCATGTTCTGCGGGTTCCTTAAATTGATATAAAGCATATCTAAATAGACTGCTTATAGTCTAAGTTAGAAAGAAATTCCCAAATCCTGTCGAATCGTTTGTCATTCTGAGCATATATCCCGTTTAAAATTAAAAAGTACAGATTCTTTATCTTGTCTTCCTTAATGCCTAATTCCCTCATTAATCCTCACATATGTCCCCAAAACGTTATTCATGCTGCGATACGCATAATACAAAAGATAAAATGAGATTCCAATATAACTATAGAGATAGTGGTACTGACGCATACAGCTTAAAATTGTATTATTACATACTACAATTACAAAGTACAGACATGAACGTCGATAATGGTGTCCATTAATACTTATGGTATTCCCTCTCTAAATCAAATGTATATTTATACAGTGTTTATGTCCTGTATCATAATAGGACATTATGAATATCCTCTTCAATATGATTCACCTCCCAGAGTAAAACCTATCTTTGAGTCAATATCAAGATTTCGCATTTAACGTATAGATATGCTTACGGCATCATGCCTAACTTGAGCATTCCTTCTCACATTAGCAAACAGTAGAGGCTAGGTACAATATGAATACTGACTTTGTGAGTTCTCAGCTTATATAAAAATTCTCATATTCTGTAGAAGATATTTAGTGGAAAGAATGAAAACCCCTCTTATGCATAATAAAATCTCAGTACAACATTGCATGAATGAAGTGATTCATATACATCCCTCATAAATAAATATAGATACTTCCATTAATAATTACATTAACGCACTCAAATAAAATATATTAAGAAAGGCATACGATATCCTCCCTAATTCCTAATAATCACCTTTAAAACGGTATGTCAATATCCTTGATGCATAAATGACAGTTGCCTTTATGTAATGTTATGGATAATAGTTTATACAGAAAAGAAATAACAAGTACTGGACAGATTCTACAAAATGGGGCTATGCCTGCCCATATACTATCATTATAGTGAGTAGTTCATTTTAGTAAAGGAAACATACACCAGAAGATTCTTTCACCTCAATTATTGTCTCTTATATTCTTATCTGAACACGAGAGGCGCACATTTCTTTTCTGAGAAGGGGGTGGATTCTTCCTCTAAATTTGTTTCTAATTCTCATAGAACCCTTCCTCCATGTGCATACAAATATATATACAAAGTGAAGATCGCAAATTGACAACCAATAAAGAACATTTAAAATATTCTTATCAGAGATTTGGAACACATTCTCTTGCAAGTTAATAATAAGCATGCTAACAGCCAGATTGCGAATCATTATCTGCTTTCCTCTTCGATGTAGTAGCAATAAGTTACTGATACCTATATGATCTAACACATAAAGAAGCCGCCGAATAATGTCTCCACACTCCGGGTATACAGTATAATATATAGTAGTCAAAGATAGAATTTTATAGAAAAAGCATGTTTATTCATACTGCACACAACATTAATAGAGAAAGGTAATCTGACAATTCCGAAATAAACGATGGATTGACCGCAGTAACATTATAACCGGCCTATATTGTAATTCGAAGTGAAGAACCTCTCAGTCCCGTATTAACTATGGGGATGCTGCCAACTAAGGGGGGCTATTTAGATCTCTGTACATGGGACAACAAATGGATTTGCACCACAGTATTAATATTCTCCCCTTCTAACACGGCCTGACAACTGTATCTGTGGAACGGAAGTAACAAGATCTATACTATTTATCCGCTTCCTTTCGTCTGTATTTCAAAGCGGTGATATCTGAGTACTAGGTATTGTTCTGCATGATAAAACGTAAGATACGAACAGTCATAGTATGAATATATCACAGTCGTGCCTGAATAGCAGTAATAAGCATGATATCTGTCGCTGCCATTTTTATTATCCTCAGATAAATACAAGGAATAATCTAATGGACGTCACGTATACATATATTTTTTATGAACACACAAGTGGAATTCATAACCCACAGCATATTTCCTCTAAGAGTGGATGAAAGAGTTGTGCAATATTTTCCTATAATCGCCTATGCTCAAAAGTCCATTGTAATAATTCCCTGTAGAAGCAAGAAATCGAGTGATAAATACAAGTTCTTCAACATCTGTTCACAGATTTCAATAAAGGCATTCAAAGAATCGTCATGCAGCAGGCGTGTTGTGTACCCCTGCCATAGTAACCATATGATTAAGAAAAATTCACTAGTGACATAGACGAAGAAGAGGATAAACATTAGAATATGAGAGACAACTTCTGAGAAAAAGATCTTACAACAGTATGGATTAGCATTAATATAAATGAATATGTGCTCTATAATTCGGCGCGTCATCCCTGCATGTATAACTCCACGATTTTACAAACATATCCTATGGGAAAGGGATGAAGGAAAAAAGACAAGGAAATAGCACTAAATCAATAAATCCGTTGTCACTCTGTATATATCTCAATAAAGGAAACTGACATAGTATGAACATTGAATGTTCCGTATCTTTATATTAACACGCTTAAGATATATTGAATATGGGGAGAAAAATAAGGAATCTACGAATATATCTCTTCTTCTATCTTCCCAGACTTCTAAAAAGACACCATAGAGAGAAAGTAAAAGAAGGCGGCTTGGAAGCAGCCAAAGAGCGCCTGATTAGCACAGGAAGAAAGAAATAATAAAGTAAGTCGGAAGGGAAGAAACACCACCTGGAGGAGCACACGGGGAAATGATGCTTGTGAGGGGCTGCTTAAAGTCCAAACTGTAAATCCGGAGCGGACAGGATTAAATGATTAACCGTAAAGAATAGACTTTAGAGGCCCAGCACACAACCAGAAATAGAAAGGATAAGCCTTTAACCATAAGGCCAGCACAATAAATCATAAAACCTAGAAGCTCGACGTTGAAAACCAATTAATACAGCCCATATCAAAAACATAAGAAGTAATGAAGAAGCAGTACAAGATGGCGCCCCAAAGTAATAACTGTAAAAACTGAACATGATGCCTAACGCAAAAAAATTCGGGGAGACACTCTGAAGAATAATAGGAACAAATACACCAAACCACGTTGCAGCATGAACAATAGCAGATACACCTGAGCAGTGCACAGTACAGAGACGATATAGACCGTGAATCTAGGACATGCAAGGAGCACCATACACTTCATCAGACACGAATAGACACTAAGAGTATTCGATCAGTCCTACCCACTATAACTGAATCCGCAGTCATGAAATCTGAACCGTACCCCGTCCAGATATGGCAGAGGATCCTAAGGCTAAGGAGATAAGGAATAAAAACAAGCAACAGAAATAAGGAGGCATATGTAAGGAATTAACCGTAACAATAAGAACTAGAAGGTGCCAGTACTCGCAAAGCCACAAGCCTCACTGATAAGCATTGGAGGCTGAGCCATGGAATATACAGCCTAGGGCCCAAAACATACAACCCAGAAACTACACCGTAAATCCTAGACAAGAAAGGATGATCACAGTAGAAAGGGCGTATAATCAGTGAATCTTACCCGCCTAAAATAACTTATCGAGGAGTACTAATAAACACTAAGGGGTGAAGAAAACCCCCCGGCCCTACACAGGAAGCGGGAGGCGTAAAAATGGAGGATAAGGCCTAACAAATACACTCAGCAGTAAGACGAGGGGGATAAGGAATAAGGCATTAATGCTAAATATTAAGGAATACAGAGTGAACAATAGAAGTTGAGACAAAACAAGACCTCCATAAGCCCACAGCACAATGCCTGACTAAAACCCAAATGAGATAGGTGCTTACACCGTGCAACCTAACTGCGTAAAGTTGAAGCGTAAGGATCAAGGAGTAGAGGTAAAATATATGGAGAGAAAGGTACTCTTTAAGAGAACTCCATAGAATTGCAGCCCACAAAATTACAGAAACCTAAGCCAAAGAAGGAAGTAACAAAAGCAGAGCAGGGATAAACAATAATGGGAGCAACCTAGAACCTCCAACAAAGCAGCCAAGGCAGTACCAGATAGAATCCATATAATAAGGCAAATGGGCCAGGACTGACAACCTACATCTGCGATATACATTTCAATTCTCTAAGCCTAAGCATTACCTGTGCCCAACAGTGTATGTGGCATGGAACTTACTTCAGCATCACTGAGCCTTAAGCAGTAGATAACGCCCCATACAGGTTGAAGCCCGGGAATTGACAAAGGGGAAGAAGGGCTCAAACTCCGAGACCTAAATCAAAGATTGGAAACTTAATCATTCTGGGCTAAAAAACCTAGGTTAAGGAATGAAAGCCGAGAAGTTAAAAGTACGAGCCTGGGGAATAACGGGAAGATATGGACAACAAAGCATAACCAGAAGGGTCCTAGAGAATAACCTCTGAAGTTAAAGCCAAGAACCAGCACCATGAACATGAAGCCTGGATGTGCCAATCAGGCGTCGACACAGAAGGCGAACCCCTAACAAATTAACTCGTAATAAAGGAAGTGAGTCTCGAAATAATGAACATTAAACGGAAAGGCATGGACTGCTGAAGGATGGAAGTTATAGGTTGCGCCTAACACGTAAAAAAGGGCACGGGAGCCCTCAAGAGCTAAAAATAAGAGATACACAACAGTGCAGGAGCCACCAAAAGTAAAAACAGACAGGGACGCCTAAAACTAAGGATACCCACTAGGAACTAAACCTAAACTCCAGAACTATAAGAAGGAACCATAGGGACACCCAACAAGATCCCCCAAGTGAGCCTAATTCCCAAAACCTATGAGGCAAAGGTGCTTCCTTAGAACCAAGGAAACCGCAGAACAGGGCGCTAAACTTCCATGCTTGGAAGAAAAATGTAAATCAACCAAAAAAATTCCTCGACATGAAGTCATACCTTATGAAATCGGGAAATAAGGGAACAAGCCAGCAAATGAAACAAGACCGATGATAGAGGAAAGACAACATGAATAGTTAACCTAACCCTAGGAAATCAACCAACAGCCTGCCGTTTGTATAAGCCAACTTATAGGGGGATGAATAATAAGATGCCATATCTAAAACTCCAAGTATGACCCCAGACAGATGGCCTTAAAGAGATACTACTGAACCAAAGATAAAGGGGCCCAAATTCGTGCCATGCAACCCGTATTACCCGTAAGTGATACACCTTTATAGTAGGGCTATCTAGAAATATGGCCAACTAAGGACTAGCACCTGTAATAGTGAAACCTGAAGAGTACGTAATCACTCCTCTGGCCTACAACTTCAAGCATAGCATCTAAATATTAAATCGCAAGCACTACCACTTGAACACTACACCCTAAGTGCAAAAACTATAATATCTGCCAATCCCAAAATAAGAAACAGCAACATGCCTGCTGAAAGAAGCCCCTAAAAAGAGAACCTTAGAGGATAAATCCAGAGCCCTAACCACAATAGGGTAATACCATTGCACAACCCCTATCAGCAACAACTCAGCCAAGAAGAGTACCCCTTAAATTTAAGGGTAACCAGGCAAGCGAACAGATATCTCACCTAAGTCG